ACCAAGCCATTGTCAGGATCAGTCCACGAGAAACATCGAGAGTCGATGGGACTTAGATTTATGAGTAGTTGGCTTTAGGTCAAGTGGGAGATTGTTATAGTAGGTGACCGGCAAGCCAACTTGTGGTTGTGGTCTTTCTCTTTTCCTTGTAATAAAACAATCGTTTTTCGTTCTTAATAATAAAATATCTTATTTGGCATTCTATATCTGTTATCCCATGCAAGCAGCATAGATATAGTCCTAACGAGTTACTCTATTACTGTGAGTTGGTCTAGTAGAATCGTGAGATAACTCAGCAATGTAATGTAACGGTTAAACCTTGTTCCTAGTCGATGGGTTACACCAATAATGAGGATACCGGCCTTTCCCTTTTGAGACTAGCACTTAGTGTATGTGTACTGCGTCTCATCAGTCCTCGGTGTTGTGACATCGGCATACTTGAGTGGGTGCTCATACTGGATGAGTTCACTGAACTCTCTCGCCCTAGAAATCTATAAGTGGTTCTCATTCATCGAGTAATAGGTTTCTAAGATATAGTTGTACACCATTAGTCCTTAAGACCCAGACATCACCGTGACTTCACTAGAGGACCGATTGTATCGTGACCTGTCCCTGAGTCCCACTGCGGACCGCTCCAAGGGCCAACGTTCGTGCAATCCGAAATCTAGTGTGAAGTCTGTGCATTGTAGTAGGGGATTCGAGCGCTTGAGTAGTCATGGATGTCCTGTGTGTTCTGACGGTTTATAATCCATGGAATCTCTGGCCAGAGTTGATAGTGGGGTGATTAGGGAAATGTGTTTCCCTAAGTCGCACACGAACGGATTTATAATACCTAGAACGTTCGCACGGTTATTGAACTTTATAAGAGGTCTCGGTGAACCAATGCCTCTAGTTCAATCGGGACATGTGCTACGAAAGGATCGTACTGTACGCTAACTATATCATAAGTTTCTTGCAGGCACTTCATTTGTATCTAGGGAATCATGATGCGTAGTTGCTAGACGCCAATCTTGATTCGTTGGGCACCGATTTGATCGGGATTAGGTAAAATGAGTTTTACTCTAATCAGGACTCTTGGGAGGAGTTCGTATAAGAACAATGTGTTGTTCGAATCACAAAGAGTTGTGAGCCCACGGCTAGCATACACCTGAACCATTGAGGGTCACACTTCTCGTGTAACATGGATCCTTGATAACAATGAGCATAGATTAATATGTTAATCTTTGCAAAGTTGGAGGTCAATATGATTGAGTCCAAGATTCGTGATTGTGGATTACGAGTCGGAATAAACGTAGAGAAAGAGATATGCGGAAATTAGTGAACTTCCTAAATTGAGAAGTTTCCCAATTTAGCAGGTCCACTGAAGTGGAAGTTTCCAATTTTGGAAATTGGAAATTTCGAAGAGGCACTCGTATCGACGAGGACTTTGAGCTCGTCACAAATATAATTTTGTTATAATTTTGTGGACGATCGTTTATTAGAAACGAGGCCGACGAGGGAATGGGCTTAATGCATCAGTGGGTCAAGCCCAATGACTTAAGCCCGCTAGGGTTGAAAACCCTAAGTATAAATAGACCTCAAACAAGAGTTTGAGATCAGATTTTTACACACAAAAACCCTAGCCGTCCAGCCCTAGCCGTCCAGCCTCTCGGCCGCTGCTGCCCCGCCGCTCCGGCGCCGATCACCGCTGGAATCCGCCGGTTTTTCCTCTCCTTTCTCTATCGTATTCCCTTTGTTATCTAACCCCTTTGTATCTAGTGCTACAGTAGGGGGAGATCCGTTTATTCGAGGTGAAACCTAATTGGAGAGGAGCTGCTGCCCCGACGGAATTGCCACGCCGCCGCTGCACCGCCGCACGCGCCGCTGCACCGCCCACGCGCCGCCGCCGCTGACACACACGCGCCGCCGTCGCCTCACTTTCGGACCAGCTGCCGTTTGGTGGTGTTCCTGCAGCCCCTAGGAGTGGTATATAGCAGCTTGTACGTGACTCGTTCTAGGATTTCGATTCGTCGAAATCGCACGCTACAAGAGGTAAATGAATTGAAACTTTCGTAAATTAATTCGAGCATGTTCTGTATGAATTATGATTCATGAGTAGGGGTGGGTTTTTTTTACCAAATTGCCCTACCAACCCGTTGCCCTACCGAGCCCTACCGATTCTCTACCGAAATATTACTACCGAATTATTACCGTACCCTACCGTACCCTACCGAAATGTTTTGGTAGGGCAACGGCACTCAATATTATTAAAATGGTATATTGCCCTACCGTACCGAAATATTATTAATAAATAAACTTTTATTTTAATAATTCATTTATCATATATAAAAAGTTAATATAGTATCCTAATTAACTACTATTAGTTAAAATTAATTATACTCTTTAGATATGTCAAAACTATTTTAAGTTGCTTTCATTAATAATGATATAATTGATCTTAGAAAAATTTATGTTATAATTTTATTTAATAAATATTTTATATTGGGTAAATTAATAACATATATTTATAATACTTATATTTTAAAAAACTAGTTTTGTACATTTTAAACGTATATACCTTGAATTGCTTTGAAAAAATGATATTCAATTTAGACTTAAATAGTAGATAACATAAATTGGTAATTATCATTACCATACCCTACCGTACCGAACTTTTGGTATACCGAATTTCGGTATACCGAACTTTTTGGCAGGGCAATGGTAATGGATTTTATAATACCGAAAGTTCGGTAGTGGTAGTGATTCGGCGGGTTTGGTACGGTTGCCCTACCAAACCCACCCCTATTCATGAGCATGAGTAATACGTGATTACATGTTTCGATTTTGTGAAATGAAGTATAAGCATGTTTCGTGATTTTCGGTTTTACGTATTTTTCAATTAAATCGAAAATTACCATATGTATGGCGGAAGCGTTAAGGTACGTTGACTATGTGATTAGTTTATGCATGTAATCGAAACTAGTTCGATGTAAAAAATTTTAAATTCCGCTGCGTATACATGCACGATCCCCAACAGCAGGCACTTCACTTGTATCTAGGGAATCATGATGCGTAGTTACTAGACGCCAATCTTGATTTGTTGGGCACCGATTTGATCAGGGATTAGGTAAAATGAGTTTTACTCTAATCGGGACTCTTGGGAGGAGTTCGTATAAGAACAATGTGTTGTTCGAATCACAAAGAGTTGTGAGCCCACGGCTAGCATACACCTGAACCATTGAGGGTCACACTTCTCGTGTAATATAGATCCTTGATAACAACAAGCATAGATTAATATGTTAATCTTTGAACGATTGGATGTCGATATGATTGAATCCAAGATTCGTAATTCTGAATTGCGAATCGAAATAAACGTAGAGAAAGAGAGAAATGCGGAATTTAGTGAACTTTCTAAATTGGGAAGTTTCCCGGTTTAGCAGGTTCACTGAAGTGGAAGTTTCCAATTTTGGAAATTGGAAATTTCGAAGAGGCACTCGTATTGACGAGGACTTTGAGCTCGTCACAAATATAACTTTGTTATAATTTTGTGAACGATCGTTTATTAAAAACGTGGCCGACGAGGGAATGGGCTTAATGCATCAGTGGGTCAAGCCCAATGACTTAAGCCCACAAGGGTTGAAAACCCTAGTATAAATAGACCTCAAACATGAGTTTGAGATCAGATTTTTGCACCAAAAAAAACCCTAGCCGTCCAAGCCCTAGCCACTCAGCCCTCTCGGCCGTTGCAGCCCCGCCGCGCCGCCGCCGATCGCCGCCGATTGTCGCCGGTTTTCTCCTCTCTATTCCTTCGTTTATTCTTGTTGTTTATCTAACTCGTTTACATCTAGTGCTGTAGTTCGAGTGGGTCAAAATATACGAGGTGAAACCTAATTGTCGGAGAGGAACGCCGCTGCCCCGCCGCCGAAGCCGCACACGCCGCTGTTACGCAGCACGCGCCGCTGTTACGCAGCACGCGCCGCCGTCCGCCGCCTGCTGGATAAGTTTTCTCCAGCCGTGAGTTGCTGCTCCAGGGAGTGGTAATTCACAGCTTGTACGTGTTTGGTTCTAGGTTTCGATTCGTCGAAATCTCACGCTACAAGAGGTAATTAAATCGAAACTTTCGTAAATTGATTTGAACATACACTAGGCCAAAACTGCATTTTCGCGACGATTTTATAGCGACGAAAACTGATTTCGTCTCCCGCTCGCGACGATTATTGCCACCATTCGTCGCAACACAAATAACCTCCCCTTAAAAAGAAAATTCTTGCGACCAAATCATGATTTTCGTAGCAAACAAGTAAAATGTTTTTTTTTTAATATTTTTTTTTTTAATCTTTGCGACAATTATGTAGTAATCGTCGCGAAATTTGGTGAAAAAATAAATTTCCTCGCGTTCTACGACGATTATAAATGATTCGTCGCATTATTCTAATAATATTTATTTAAAAAAAATTATGCTTGCGACGAATAGGTAGTTTTCGTCGCAATATGCTTTGGTTTATAAAATATAACAAATTAATGCGATGAATTTTGCAAAATAGTCGCACACGAGTTTGACAAAGTTTAATAGGTTCTCTATTGCGACGATTAGTTATTGAATTCGTCGTAATAGTTAGATGTATATTTATTCTCAAGTACTATTAAAAGCAAAGCCCTAATTTAATCTCCCTGCTCTTTTCTCTCCCTCATTGATTTTCTCTTTGCCGCCACACTTCGCCCCCACACTTCACCGGTGCACTTCGCCCCTATGATTCGCCGTCTCTTAGCCGTCCCTTTGCCTCCACGGTTTGCCGCCCCTTCGCATCCACGGTTCGCCGCCCCTTCGCCTCCACGGTTCGCCGCCCCTTCGCCGCCGTTGCTTTGCCGCCACGATTCGCCGTCCCTTCGGCTCCACGATTCGCCGCCATGATTATATCAGGTTGTCGTCGCCTCGATTGTCTTCTCCCTGGACATAGCCATCGCCCCTTTGTTCTTTTTCCCGCGGAACTATCTCTCCGTGAATGCTCTCCTCCCTCTGATTCGTCACCTTCCTCGAAAGAGAGGACGCCGCCGCCGCAATGGACAACATGGACGGAGCCGAGCTTTACGGCCGTGTACTCACCGTTAATTATGCGCTGCCGGAGAAAATTAAGGGTGGAGAAGTCGGCTGGGCAGCACAACCCAGTAAGCCTAATTCAATTGCTTTCTTATTCTTCTTCTCTTCTTTTTTAGGTTAATTTCATAAAAGAAAACATTAAATCATTCGACTGACCATTACTTGTTGGAATGCCTAATGTATAGTTAGGGTTGGAGCTTTAAACAATCAATTATTGATGCAATTTATTGGATGTAACAAATTGGGGGGCAAAAAATAATTTGTTTGTCAGTTAAATATTTGGAACCCTAACACTTGCTTAAAAGCTTTGATTAACAAGGCATTTCTGGTAGAGCTTGCTTTATTGGTTTAGTTTTCGATGTGTTTTTGGTTTCTTCAATTTGTTAGGTGTTCTGTGCCTTGATGTATGAACTAGGGTCTCCATGATTTGAGTTGCTTAAATTGTTTATGCATTTTTCTTTGATTTTAGGATAAACGGGAAGTGTTATACTTGTAATGGGCTATATAACATGGTTTTCGTTTGTTTGATGTTTGTTTTCTTCTAGGATTGGTTGCAATTTATTCCATCATTAAGCTAAAAAAGACCTGCTTATTACTAACGGCTGTTCGTTAATCACCATCTTAATACAATTGATTGAATTTCTGACATTTACGTTTGGTTGAAAAAAAATGTCAGTTTGGGCGGATGCTGACACGTGGTTCGAAAGGCAGCAGCTAGAACAGGAGATTCAGAGGCTTCAGTCGGAGCAGAAAGCAGCAATGCTCGAAGCTGAAGAATTGCACAGGAAGAAACTTGCTGAGGAGCGAGATGGTGAAAAAGATGAAGAAGCTGATTCTGCTAAGGGTGATCCAATGGCTATTAAGAAGGATATCAAGAGAGCTCAGCTGAAGAAGAACCCATTGAAGAATATCAACGTGATGCCGTATGCTAAGGCTGCCAAGAGGATGGCTCTATTGGCTGAGGCGCAGAGGGTCAAGGCTAAGCAGGAGAAGCCAGGAGAAGCTCGACAAGAAGAGGAAGCTGATCACTAAGGTATCGTTTTGATTTCGTATGCTTTTTTTTATGTTCACTGTTAATGTGTTGTGTCTGCAGACTGATATTGCTGTAGTGTTTATTCTTGATGCATTATTATGTATGTAAGTATGTATAATGTATATATATATATATATATATATATATATATATATGTCCCGATATCAGCTTACGTCTACTATATGTTTAAATGCCATCTTATTGTGTGAATTGTTCTAGAAATTTGTTGGGACGATCTGAGACGATTTAGTTTGGTTATTTGTATGCCTTGTTCTGTATTGTTGGTTGAGTTCATATTATGTGCATTTAAAAAAAAACTAATATGATTGGTTTGCGACATGGGTTAATTTAGTAGTTTTCGTATAATTTATATTTTATGAACTCAATTTGTTGCTCTTGGCTTTCATTGAGGATATCATTTCTACGTGTTGTATCTATGCTGCCATATTACAAGAGAGCAATGATTGTGTCATATGCTATCTTAGACATTAGGGGGATGAGGTGGGGCTGGCTTGTCACTTTACTTCGCAGGGTTTATATAGTTATGCAGGTTGAGTCCGTGGTATTTGAGATATATTATTTGGTATATTGCGCCACCTTATAATGTTCGGTATATATTGTATAAAGTGTTTGGTATATATTGCGTAGTGTTGGGAAATTTTTTTCGTTATATACTTATATGTTGAAACTTTTGTTTTATATGTTGCAAGATCGGTTGGGTGTTTTGTATTAGCATAAACACTTTTTGTGTCTTCATGCTTTAGTCGTTATGGTGCTATATTTTTTGTTTAGCTTGTGCTTATTTGTATTTATGTCACGCTTATGTACGCATACATTTTTTTCAGGCACGGATGGAAAGAGCTTATTAGGATCAAGTGGATAACTTCAGCAAAACATTCAACTCCTTGATCCAGCATTTGAAACGACAAAGTCAAGTATTTCACCATATCAAACCACATCTAATGAACAATGAAGAAAGTATGGATCAAATCTTTTTTTGCTATGCTTAAATATTTTTTAAGTTTTAATGTACTTTCAAATTTGTTCTAGTGTTAGTGTATTTCACATACTATTTTGATTTTAATGTGATGGAATAAATTTTAATGTGATGTGTTATTTGACCCAATAGTTAATTTCGAATTATTAAAATTGGTAATTAATTATTGTAAAGATAAAGAACTGAAAATCTATTACAGGTTAATTTATCATTTAATATGTAGTGCCAAAGAAAAAAAAATCTAGCGACGTTTTTGTAAAAACGTTTCAAATGAGTGGATAAATTTTTGCGACGAATACTATTTTCGTCGCATATTTGTACAAAACAATTGCGACGTTTTTTGCACAAACGTCGCAAGATGATTAGGAGATTTGCGACGATTGTCAAATTTCGAAGCTAAAAAAATAAATTGGCAGAAACGATTTGTTGCGACGAAACATGAAAGCGTCGCAACTTTTTGCGACTAAAATAAAATTCCGTCGCACACCTTGCGACGGGCCGTTTGGCGACTCTTTTTTGAAGCATTTGCGACGTTTTATTTTTCGTCGCAAGGGTTGAAATTTCGTCGCCAATGCCCCTTTTTCGTCGCAATATTTCGTCGCCAGTGTTGTGTTTTGGCCTAGTGATATTTGTATGAATTTCAATTTATGAGCATGAGTAATATGTGATTACGTGTTTCGATTTTATTGTATGATGAACAAGCATGTTTTATAATTTTCGGTTTTACATGTTTTTAATAAAATCGATAATTACCATATGTATGCCGGAAGCGTTAAGGTACGTTGACTATGTGATTAGTTTATGCATGTAATCGAAACTAGTTCGATCTTAAAATTTTTAAATTCCGCTGCGTATACATGCACGATCCCCAACACTGGTATCAGTGCCACGGGTTAATCGTTTATTTGTCAACGTGTTTATCGCTTTCGAAAGCATGCTTCGATTTGTTGAATTGTTGAATTATTGGTGTTATCCAATTGGGTGGTTTAATATTAATTAAATATTTTGAACATTTCAGAAAATATAAAATTTTATTTATTTTTTAAACTCGGATTTTTCTGCTGCTGCTGTCGGTTTTCAGCTGACCGAACCGGTCCGGCGGACCGGTCTGACCGGTCCGGTCAGCGCACACAAAAAAAAATAAAAAAAAAATTAAAAAATTTATTGATTTTCAGATATTAATATTAAAATTAATTGATTTTTAATTTTTGAAATTATTTATCAATTAAACCCAATTAGATAATTCATCCATTAATTTAATTTGAATTCAAAGAATAGTGTTGGATTAATTATTTAATTTAATCGTTAAATTAGTTTAATTAATGGAACACAAATTAAATGGCAAATAATTAATGGACTTCATTCTTATTTGATTGATTTATGAATGAAGGGAGTCCGTTAATTATATTTGCAATTAATCGTATTAATTAATTAATTCATGAGATGAATGATTGTAATTAAGTACGATGATGATCGTATGTCTCTCTTAGGATCAATATGCGTTTCCACATACATAGAGAACATAGTTGTAGGAATCACAAACGATCATAACCTAAAACTTCCGATGAGCTAATAAGATTTAATAAATAAAATCCCTCATTCTTAATCAAGAATAATTATCAAGCTATAAAGAAAAACCAAATTGTTGAATTTTTGTTTCCTTCTACCAACAATGAAATTATGTGTAGCCTCTCATAATAGTGCAGTAAGCCGTGTTAGCGGGGAGTGCTATTGTGGGATAAGCTGTAATTTAATTGACATTAGATGGAGATACGGTCATAGATAAAATTATATTGGATTAATGTGGTCGGCTAGATTAACTAGGGATTGCATTAGTTTGATATAGTTGGATCTGTGACATCTCATATTGGTAGGCTGGACTTGACACACGAAGATTTTGATATTCGCTAGATTAACTTAGGTCATTATCAAGTGTGAGGTAAATCGAACTTTAGGGTCACATAGTGATGTGATTGATAGTACTCTACCTTTAGGCTTGTGTAATCGGGATAGATTAACTACGGGTTACATTAGCGCTATTGGACCTAAAGCCCATTAAAGAAAAATAAGTTTTCTCGATTGTCTGCTAGAGGGTGGTGGAATTCGATAAAATTAGTGGGAGAACAATTAAAACATAAAAGTTCAAAATTTTAATTGTAACGATTATTACGAACTAAACTCTAATTCTTGTCTTCTTGAAATTTTCTCAGCAACAATGTCCAAACATCCCCTTTCCTCTATCCTCGACCATAACAAACTCACCAGTCCAAACTATTTGGATTGGCTTCGCAATCTGAAACTTGTGCTCCAAGTCGAGGAGCGTCTCTATGTGCTCAATGAACGTCCCCCCGCTGCTCTCCCTGCAACTGCTACTGCTGACGAGACTACCACTTTTGAGGCATGGAAGAAGGACGACCTCCATGCGAAGTGCTACATGCTAGCATCCATGGTGCCAGAGCTCGCGAGGAAGTATGAGTCTCACGTGCATGCTTATGAAATCAAGAATCATCTTGAAAGCATGTACAGTGAGAATACTAGGGCATCGAGGTACTCAGCTACCAAGGAGTTGATCACCATGAGGCTGCGTGAAGGGGCTTCGGTCCACGAGCACGGTCTCAAGATGATCACACTCCTTGAGAAACTGGTGAGCCTTGATGTCACCCTCTCGGCCGAGCTCTCGGTGGATTTGATCCTACTGTCCATTCCTAGTTCTTATGAATCGTTCATAGTGAACTTCAACATGAACAAGCTCGATCCACCATTGGATGAGTTGTTGAACATGTTGGTCAGCTAAGAGTCCCCGATCAAGAAGGAGAAATCTGTTCTCCTAGTTGCTCCTTCTGCGAAGAAAGATTCTTTTCAGAAGAAAAGGAAAGAAAGGAGTTTCGACCCGAGCAAGAAACTTGAGAAGGGCGAGTCGAGCGGAGTGAAGAATGACAAGGTCACCAAGCAAGTTGATGACGCTTGCCATCATTGTGGAAAAAAGGGCCATTGGCGACGCAACTGCAAGGCTTACCTCGATCAGAAACGTTCTGAAAAAGGTACGTATTTAATAGAAGTTAATTTGTCCGTTAAATCTTCTTCTTGGGTATTGGATACTGGTTGTGGCTCACATCTTTGTAATGATTTGCAGCTCATGACAAGAAGTAGGAGGCTTAATCTGGGTGAGACCTACCTACGAATGGGCAACGGAGCAAGGGTTGCTGCTGAAGCCATTGGGACGATTTATCTTTATGTTTTGGATTCTAGTTTTTCCATTGTTTTGAACAATAGTTTATTTGTTCCGTCACTTATTCGAAACCTTATTTCTATTCATGTTTTGGATAATGAAGGTTTTACTTTTGTTTTTGGAAATTCGATTTGCATTATACAAAAGGATCAAAATAAGATTTGTAAGGGACAACTTATAAACAACTTATATGAACTAAATCCAAGTGAAATACCAATTAACGTTATATCAGCAAAACGAAAAGATGCACAACTTTGGCACGCTCGACTGGGTCATATTTCCTTGAGAAGGATGAACAAATTTGTAAGTGAAGGATTGTTCTCCTTAGAGGACGTGAAATAACTTCAAACTTGTGTATCCTGCCTCAAAGGAAAAATGACCAAGACTCCCTTCAAAGGGAAGATGGAACGAGCCGAGGGTCTTTTGGATTTGATCCATTCAGACGTGTGTGGTCCACTAAGCGTTAGTGCTAGGGGTGGTTTTAACTACTTCGTTACCTTTACCGACGATTATTCTAGGTATGGTTTCGTGTACTTAATGAAGTATAAGTCTGAGACTTTTGAAAAGTTCAAGGATTTTAGACACCAAGTAGAAAACCAACTCGGTAGACGTATTAAGAAACTATGATCCGATCGTGGTGGCGAATACTTAAGTACTGAGTTTATAGACTATCTTAAAGAGAATGGGATTCTGTCTCAATGGACTCCTCCTGGAACTCCTCAACTTAATGGAGTTTCCGAACGTCGGAATCGAACACTGTTAGATATGGTTCG